AATGGGCCCCAAATCAGTAATGTTGTGACTCCCTGGCGTTGTTAGCGGGAACTAGTTTGAGGCAGGTCTTTGTCGACAGGTAACACTGCTGTGATGAGCAGGAGGGGGTGTGGGGGCTGTTGTTACCCTCGGTAATGAAGTTCCAGGTGGTGGGAGAGATGGAGGCCTGGGCAGGAGGAGGCTCACAGGGCCTGTGTGTGGTAGCAGAGATCGCTGCGGATGTCTCTCTGGGTAGGCCACGTGCTCCAACTTCTTCTGTATCTGCAGGTCTTCGAGACCTGCTCTTATCAGGGTGCTCGTGGATAGCGGTGTCGGCACTTTGTAGTTCCAGCTGTCCTTTACTCCGAACTCTGGACGTGCAGTGGGCAGAAGGACTGAAAGACGCACAAATGAGAGACCTCTTGTCACCACCCACAGATAACCGCCCAGGTAACAGGCAGGAGGAGCGCGCGCGAGACCCGTCCCAGCCGTTCTGTGGCACGTTCTGCTGCTAGTACCCCTCGGAGGAAAGGGGCAGGAACCCCCACGGCCAGCGCCGGTGGGTTCTGGGCTTCGCAGGCACGCGGGAGGTGTTCAAAGTAGCGATTTGCAACACCTCCTCGCTGGAAGCTCTTGGGTAACGAGTGATGTTCTCTGGCTGCTGAACAGTCGTCTGAGCCGCTGTGCTGGTTTTCTGTCTGACTTTCTTCTCTTCAGGCTGCAACGGGTGTACTTTAGAGAGTATGGAAACACTTTCTTCCAGTTCAGGGAAGGAGCAGTTCTGTGGGTCATGCCACATTCGCCCGGATATCAGCTCAGGTGAAATTTTGAGCAAATCAGATCTGCTTTCTGGCATGCACTGCACAGCCTACTGCTTATTCCCGACTTGTAATTCCGCTGGGCCCCTGCAGTTAACTTTCATCCCTTTTGTTTTGAAATCAGGAGGTGGCTTTGTCCACGTGCCTGTTCCAAAAATAGACAAGTGTTAAATCCCCTCCAAAGCTCCAGACAGGCGAAAGCGTCTGAAGTTGACGTAGGGCAGCAGTGTTGTGTGTCACAGTGCATTTCGTATAGACCTGCGGATGTTTGCGATGCGGGGCGAGGCTTGTGGGAGTGACCGGCTGCCTCCGCTTTCCAGGTCAGATCGACAACCGGAGTAAACTACGGAACATCGTCGAGCTGCGTTTGGCCGGCCTGGATATCACGGATGCTTCTTTGCGGCTGATCATAAGGCACATGCCTCTGCTCTCCAAACTCAATCTTAGTTACTGTAACCACGTGACAGATCAGTCTATTAACCTGCTGACCGCTGTCGGAACCACCACACGGGATTCGTTAACGGAAATTAATTTATCAGGTAAGGAGCACAAGCCTGGGGGGAGATGGGAATTTGCCCACCGGTGTCAGACACACATGAAACTCTCTGTCCCTGCCCCCGGGGTAACTTTCCCCCCAGCCCCTCGGGGGTCCACATAAATGGCTCGATGTGCAGGGCAGGACGGCCGCCTCCTGTGTGGGAGCGGGGTTTGGACCTCACTCATCCTCTGCAGGGGATTTCCCAGTGCCAGCACATCTGGCACGTCTGGCGCGCTTCGCTTGATCTCTGGTTACGCAACAGAGTCACGGAGATCAGAGAATGGCGACGGGGCCGCGTCGGCACAGCACGGGGGGAGCCACCGGCACCTGTCGCGGTCGTGCTGGAGAGCAAGCCAACACGCTGCTAAATCTGACCCGCTTTGTTTTTGTGTTTTTACCTGGCAGACTGCAATAAGGTTACTGACCAGTGCCTGTCTTACTTCAAACGTTGTGGAAACATCTGCCAGATCGACCTGAGGTACTGCAAGCAAGTGACAAAAGAAGGCTGCGAGCAGTTCATCGCAGAAATGTCTGTAAGTGTTCAGTTTGGGCAAGTGGAAGAAAAACTTCTGCAAAAACTGAGTTAGTTAAAGGACACGTGTAAATACTGGGGCAGGGTGGAGGGTGGGGGGAAGGGACTAAGAACACGTAGGGATTTTATTTTCAATTGGGAACTTGGAATATTGGAAAGTACCGCGATTGGATTTTACAACTCTTTGTCGAGGAGAGAGCGACGTGAAACTACCCACGGTAAGAATTTCAACTTGTGCCACTCACTCAGTCTACCTGGGATGTCCTGCACTGGCTCTTATGCAAATTCATAAGGCGACTGTTATTGATGATAATTGTTCACACCCGGAAGACGACTGATCTCCAAGAAATACTGTTATTTAAAGTACCACAGCATGTGCTTGGTAGTGTAAATTTGATTTCTGCTTTTCATTTCTTAAAATAACAACAACAAAAAGTCGGTGTCATTAAAGTGGACCACGCACTGCATTTCTGCCTTCTTAACACGTTTTGTTTTGTTACATCTTACATTATGCAGAACTATTTTTGTACAAAAATTGTTTAAAAATTATTTATGCAATGTTTGAATGCATTACCAGTGTTTCGGTTTTGATTGCCAATTTTTATCTTTACTTATGGTAGGCGAGAACTTAACCTATACTTCGTAGACAGTATCTATCTACAAATGTGCCCAGGTCAGGAAAAAGTAGGTTAATACTTTCAACTTAAAGCATGTTTTAATGGAAGTTTATATCCTGCTTTGTATACTTCAGAAGTGACATAAGCATGTTGTGGAAATAAGGTGTAAATTATAGTTGAAGTAAAACACTTTTATCTGTATAGAAATCACCTTTTTTCTCAAAATTTTAAAAAAAAAAAGTTCCAATTTCAGCTTTTGCACATAGGAGGGTTTCACTCTGTAGCATGAGCTCTTGTACTCAATATAAAATTAATTTATACAGTGAGTCCAGCCGTAGAATAAATGGTCAAACGTAGTCTCTCTTTCTTTGAAGTGTGAGTTGAGTTCTCATTTAAGGTTTATAACATGGTTATTTCCTGATTGTAAAATTCTGCATTCATAAGTGCCATTGTTGTACGGTGGTGTTTTCGTAGACCTTCCTGATGCAGTTTTACCTTTGTTGAATTTGTATAAACAATTGTACAAAAACAGGCGCTGGCTCGGGGCGTTTCTGTTCCAACAGGGGGCTGTCTGGGGAGGGGGGAAGCTCTGTGTATGCGTGTCACTGTGTGCATGTGTCACCGTGTGTCCCACCATGTGTGACTGTGTGTGTGTGTGAGAGAGACTGTGTGCGTGTCACCATGTGTGTGTGTGAGAGACGGGGGGGCCCACCGTGTGTGTGTAGAGTGAGAGAGAGAGAGAGAGAGAGAGAGAGAGACCATGTGTGCACGTCACCATGTGTGTGGGACCGTGCATGTCACCGTGTGTGTGTGTGTGAGACTCTGTGTGTCACCATGTGTGTGACCATATGTGTGACTGTGTGTGCGTGACTGTCACCGTGTGTGTGTGTGTCACTATGTATGCATGTACTCGCACCACTGTGTGTGTGTGACTGTGTGGGAGACCACTTGGTTAAGAGACGAGACGGAGGCCCATCACAAATCTTTATTAAGCCTTGTGGCTAACGATCAGCATGGAAATAACACAGAGGGTATGTTGGGGTTTTTTTCTTTATTAGCCTCCCCCTGAACAGAGACTCCAGGAGTTAAGTACCATTAAAAAGTTAACTTCTAAAAAATAAAGCCATAGAGAGGTTTGCTCCCTTCTGAAAAATAACCAGCAGTCTCTCCATGCTGTGTATTTTATTTTCTAAGGAGCAGTTATTTTCTCTTTTATAAGCCAGCTTAATTTTTCACCTAAAAGACAAGAGCAGGTGGAACAGATTAGCAGAGGGATGTGTCCTCAGGTACTGCAGCCTCCACGAAACCTGTCCTTGTCACTTCGCTAGCACATGGGAAATTAAAAAAAAGGAGAAGCTGCAGCTTTGTTGCTCAGCCCTGCTGAAAGTCTAAAGCAGCCAGCACAGCTGCAGGGCGTCCTGAACTGACTCAAATGCAGCACTGGCTGCAGGCAGCAGATCCCCAGAACAGGTCCTCCAGCACAGCCATCCTACCAGGACCGTGGAAATTCTGCTCCAAGAGGACCCCTCGCCCTGCTGGCAGCGCTCTGCTGGGAACCAGGCCGAGAGCAAGGCAGGCCAGCCAGCAGCTGAGGGGCAGGGCGGGTAATAGTGCCTCGGCCGTGGGGAAGAGTCTGTGAACGTGAGGTTTTTAAACAACTGTTTCCCTTCTCCCTAGTAAAGCCCTCCCAGTTAAGGTTAGTTACACCATACATTCCACGGGTTAGCAGCAAGTAGTTTCATGACCCTGATTAGTATTCACAGTTACATCAGGTTGTCGGCACATGGCGTACAATCATCACACACAAGATTAATAGTTACACTAGAGATGAGTGGGTTAAGGACCACAATAATAGGGTTTGCTATACCCCCCCATTTTTATTTTTATTTTTTTAGAAAAATACTTTATTCCTAAACTAAAAAACACTTAGTAATCGGTATTTGGACACCACACGGCAGCGCCCTGTGATGCGATGGAGCTTTCTGTACATTCAGGAACAATGGCCAAGACGTAATGACAGACGTTTGGAACAAAGCAATCGGCGTAAAATAGATTGCTTAAGGGCTTCTGTGCAGGTACAGTTAATGGCAGTGCGTCCTACAGTCGGAGTTGGTACTGTTAACACTGTTGCAGGGACAGTGTCACAACAGTTACATTCTATAACTACATAAAGGCTCAATATTAACTGATACATTTGTTGCTTCTAATGCACTAGACAAAGTAACACGCAGAGGTGGCGGCTGAGTACTGAATGCGGCCATCAGAGGCGATATTCTTCAGAAGAGAGCAAGAACTGCTGTAAACAGTTTGACTTGAAGTTTGTGGGTTTGTAAGGTAAGTGGGGCAGCGCTGTTACCGGACACACAGGCAGCGTATCCTACTGCCCGCCCCAGGGATCCAGTAGGCTGTAGAAAAAAAGTTTCACAAACTCCTAGATCCTGACGTTTAAAATGCCGTATTTAGCGAGAACTAAAGAGCTGACCTGTGCCCGGAGGTTCGGCACTCCCGCCCGCAGCAATCCTGGAAGGGCGACGATCGAAATCCGCTTTCGGTCTCAGTTTACGACTTGAAGACGTGCACGGCCCGTACGACGTACTGGCGGCAGATGGGGCACTCGCTCATCCTCTTGCCACACTTGGTGCAGGTGACCATGTGGCCGCACTCCAGCAGGACACAGTCGATGACAGCGTCCATGCAGATGCGACACAGGTTGTCGTCGTTGTCATTCAGCTGCATCTTCTCGCCCTCTGAAAACCAACAGAGAGGGAGGTCAGAACTAGAAAGCCCCTAAGTGAACATCCAATATTTAAGTGCGAACATTCATTCTTTAAACTCAGAGACCGTTTTCAATTCCCAAATAATGACTGTGAAATAATCTGCTGGATTAAAATTCTGCACGTTGGTTTTTCCATCTCTGGGCTTACTTCGTTTGGCAGAGCCTCTCCCTCAAAACACTTAACACAGTAATAAAAAAGCAGAGTAAGAAGCCATAAAGGTGGCAGAACTGAATGTAACTTGTTGAGTTTCACTGCAAACAGACACTATCCCTTAAGAACAACTGGATGTTCCAACAGCCTATGTTAAAAAAAAAAAAAAAATCCAACATTTTAAGCTGGATTTCAGGCAGGTTGTCGCTTCCAGTCCATGGCCAAGGGAAGGGTCTCCCTTAAAGTCATGTTTTGACATTCCCTAACAGTCCCCCACCCTCACAATCCTCCCCTATCCCAATTAGCTGATTATTTCACACCTGATGAGTGCAGGCTCTGCTGCCACGATGTGGCCCAGGGTAAGTTTTCCAGTTGCCACAGGCCCCTGTTCTTTGCAGTCTGACTGCAGATGGAGGAGTGACACACCAGGCAAGCATTTTTCAAGCTGGTAATGACATCCAAAACTGCTCCTTAGATTATACTTGGTGACCAGGAATTGGTCTGTGGCTGTACGACACCCACACAAGGAATGTTGAGTAAGAGGGTGGAAGAAAATTGGTCACTGAGCTGCAGCCACAGAACGACCTGATCACGAAAACACGGACGGAGGCCAAACCACTTCAGCTTGGACTTTTGCCACTGTAACTGTTAGTTCTGCACCGCAGCAGAAGACCTGAACTGCTCTGGTCTACCGGCAGCTGCCGAGCTGCTCTCGATAATGCCTTCTGAAACCTAATAAAGCACACCGAGGTGCCAAGTTTCATTTTCTCTGAGGAACCGGTTCTCAGTTGTGCAATTTTACCTTCACCATGAAAACCGAGCTCTCCAAGCTTTGGAAAAAGGTCACAAAAAACCCAGCACAATCCTGGAAAGCTTCATTGGCTCACTAGAACCACATTCACCTTGCACCACATTCAGATGCACCTTGAATTGCTAAAACCCACTGCCCAGTTGTTCCACCTGAACAGAGCAAGTAAGATACCAACTCCTTCTCTTGGAAGAGCCAGCTACTGGAAAACAGAAAATAAACAGTCTTAAGAAAATGAGAATAAAATATAAACCTACGTGTCTTGTGGTTTTCCTCACTCTCTCGGTATAGTCTGCTCACTTTTTCCACAAGTTCCCATTTTTCACAGCATCCTGAGTAGTTGACAAAATTACACGCAAGGATCTCCTTCAGCTGCCGAACGCTCAATCCTTCAATGTCTTCCAGACTTGAAATATCGGACAAAGATGCTCTCACTCGCTTTCTGGATAACCCAGGGGTCTGAAACACATCAGTTTTATATTTTTAGCTGTCCCGGGAAGTTAAGAGCACCAGACCTGGTGTTACATACAGCTGCAGAAGCTTGGCTCAAGTTTTATTCTTTTAAAAACAAGCGTGCAGATATGCACTGCCAGACACAGCAAAAGAACCATGATACTAAATGTGAGATATCTAAATGCCTTATGGTGTCCCATGCCAAAAACTTATTCTTCAGATAGTTCATATCTCACCTGCTCTTCTGCACTTTCTTCTTCTTCATTTATAGAAGATGTTTCCGTCTGTCCCTGTGTAGAAAATAAAACTAATCAGGACAAAACCACATTATCTCTTATAAAACATGTTCCTCTGTACCAAACTGATCAAGGATGACAGTGACATTTTGAAGATTAAGTCGCAAGTTAGTAGCAACTGAAGTCACCTCTATCACCTCAACTAGTAATCTTCTCTAGTAACCTGTTTTCAGGCGAGAGATACAGAAGGCATTCTTCCTGCCACCCCACACTGCACCAACTGGCATTTCATTTTAAAGGAATGCATACCTACTGAAAAAAAAAAGCTATGCTATACCCTAAACCACGTGTTAGTTATCGTACCCGTGCAGGCGTTCCATTTCCTGTGCTTCCCCTTCTGTTTGCAAGTTCTCCTTGAGACGGCATTGATACAGACATAGAAAACGGATGAGTAAAAAACCCCGAAGTCTGTGACCGTGACGAATGCAAGCTGCCAGCGTCCATGTCGTCCTCTGACCCTAACCCGTGATGGCACAGCACAAGATCCACCAAGTCTTCTTTCTCTCTGCAAGTATCCGTCGGTATGTTTCTAAGAATCAGATACTGGCGCAGATCTTTTACTTTCAATCTCATTAACTGAGGTCGCTGAAAGGCCGTTTCTTGCAGCAAGTGACAAGTGGAGCATCTTCTGAGATTCTCTTGTAAGACCGAACAAACGGAGCAAAAATCCTTCTTGCAGTCACAACACATGTGCTGAGGAGAAAGAGAAAACAACCAGTCAGCTGTGTGTCACCACAAACAAATCCAGACCCTGCTCCTTAACTTACTCTTAGTCTTTTCCTCATCAATATTGACATACGTCATTTTGTAGGATTTAAAGTCTGGAGAACTGCCCTGTCACAGAGTTTTGCAGGTGTTCTAGGGCAGTTCTCCACTTCGTAGCACTACTGCCAGCTGATTTGAGGTTTCAGTGGAAAAACATTACAAATAAACAACTAAATGAAGCAGTCAAGTTACAGTTTAGACAATAAACTAAACTGAAAGCCAGTCAATCTTATGGTGTGGCTAAACTACTTTTTGTATATACTAAACGTCACTGGTCTTTTCACACGTGCAAAAAAGCAGTATAATCCCCAAAGTTTAGAGAACAGACTACTTCCCCAATTGTTTCAAAGGAATTCAAAGCGGGCCTTAAATGTGATGAATCACGTGGTCAGTAAATACTCCCAAATGCCCAGATGTCATTTCTGAAGAGAGCTTTGTTCATAACACCCTCTACAATAGACAAAAGCTAGAATAGGCAAGACATTCAGCAGCGATTTTAAACGGTCATCTCATCCACTGTGAACAAACCCAAACCCGAGGTTTTCAGGATATTAGTAAATTAATATTAGCTTCAGAAGCCATCTAAACAATGCTTAATTCAACAAAGTGTTTGTCATGCAAAGAACATGATGCGTAGGAAGGGGGAAACTGAACACACAAACTGAAGAAAGAGGTTTCATGTTTATCTAAACGAGCTGCAGAGAATTACATCACTGAGTGGGACAAAATGATGCTGGACAGGCATGATACATAGAAATAATATTAAAATTCTCAGTTTGCTTTAGCTGCATTAACCCACCAGCCTGCCTCCAAATGAAGCAACAGGCAATGCAGTGCAATAGCATTTATCAGAACTGAACCTGGTTAGAAAACGAACAGAATTATATGAATATTTCACAGAAAGCAGCTCTGACACTATGTTGTGAGTTTTTAGCTTTTCCATCACCGAGTTTGCTCATTCCAGTACTCAACCACTACATGAGCCATCATCTTTGAAACCACATTTGTTTTAATGTTCAAGATTCTGAAGCTAAAACATGTATCTTACGAATGAGAATTCACTCATTTTTGGTCAGACCAGATCCAATGTGTAACCAATTAACAAACATCAGACCTCTTAACTCGTAATCCTGTCTGACATTCATTTCCTGTGACCTTAGAAGGAGGCCCTGCCTCCCTCCCTGGCATTCTGCCTCAGGTTTCCTCATCTAAGGGAAACACACATTCACCTTCCAGTATGCCTAGGGATTAGATTCATAGGAGTAAAAATACTACATAATAGGAAATATACTCACTTTTTTCCTAAAAACTGAAAAGGAAAGTCCACAGGCTTTGCAAACTATGTTAGCACCCGCTGCAGCTGGAGTTGGATACGCCGAGAAGTCTGTATTTGGCGTGAATCTGAAGGGGCCGGCACCTCCCCCAAAGCCAGCCTGCTGGCCACGCACAGCTCCCGTCCCCATGACTTCATTCAGCAGCCCACAGCAGGAAGCCCACATGGAAGTAGCTCCCGCCTGAAAACATTCACAAAGAAAAAAAAATTTTAAAAAAAATTAAGATCTGAAAGCCAACATGAGATATGACTTGCTACTGAAGAGCTACTCCATCTGTCACCATCCCAAAAGCACATGGTACGAATTCCCAGAGCACCAGGAATTCAGCACAGCAACATCTAGAACAGCCCGGTAACCTCCGCTTCCCAGCTGCGAGTAGTTAAGATTCCCTTCCAAGAGGCTCATGCGGACACAAGAGCTCACTTTCACAACCCTTTTCTAGCAGAGTAGTGCAGGGAAAATGAGGAGGTAACACAATCGGTGAGCAAAGGAGGAAGAGACTAACAGCCAGTTGTAGGTGAGGGGCAAAAACTGAAATGATGACAGGCAGCAACACAACAATTTATCGTAATGAAGGCAGAGCTGTCCCCTTCAGGATCTTCTCCAGAACTAATCCAGCTCTTGTGGGACTCACAGTAAAACTCCAAAAAATGTTTCTGGGTTTTCAGACTTGAAAGTAACAAACCAATCTTCATTAGAATCACAGAATGTTAGAAACTAGTTACGGTCTAGTTTCTCCGATGAAAATGTTTTTCAAGACTTCCCTGATCCTGCTCTTTTGTTGCCTTCAAAAATTAACTCTAAATGAACATACGCTGTATTGACTGGATTTCAGTTCCGAGTCATACAATTTCATCTTAAAAACAACACAAAAAAATCTAAATAAATTGCTACTTTTTATCCCTGAAAACCTTTGGCAATAGATTCTCCACACAAAGTGCATATTCTACTTAAAGTTGGAATTCGGACTCCAAGTTGTTCAGGTCACATATTTAATCACTGTCATGTGGCTCACTGAAACCTACTAAAAAAAAAAAAAAGGCAAAAGGCAACCAATCAGGTTCTTTCTGAAAGGAAGCTGAGTGTTGCAACTTCAATCATCCCTTGTTTTTTTTCATACTATTCTTAACTGTGCTGGCTAGAGCTGTTCCGTTTTCCATTCCAGGGCAGTATGGTTTTTTTAGAAAGCACGAAGATATAAAATAACTGCTTTTGAGATTTGTAGTTTTTGCTGTAAAACCTAAATCAACCGTAACATGCGCTTCATCTCAGTAACAACGGTGCTTTAATTCCTGTAGTGGCTACACTAATTTCTGTATTAAATTGCACGTTTTCCCTGAACCAAACACAATCCTATTAGGTTTGTGGTTACTTAAGGCAATAACTGGGAATGTGCCTGAATGTCTCCATTCAAGCCACCGAGCACAAAAGGCGAGAAAAGAGTTCTCGCTCTGCTTCAGAGAGAAGCAGCGGACAAAACGTGTTCTACACCACCATGCTCACGTAAATGTGGACACCAAAAGCACCTCCCCAAGCCCCACAAACCTGGTACTCCACTTTTACTGTTGTAAGCTGACATTAAAAGTGTTGCAATACAGTGAAATATCGAAGACAGTCATTTTGCTTTTAAGCCATGCAACGTGTAACATCGTGTGCAGCAACAACACCACATGGACATGGCAACACGTTAAACTCACTAGTCTAATCTCGATTTCAAAATTCATCCCAGGCATAACAAGAAGCCCCCATGTACTGGGCACCCCACACAGAGGAGAAAATCTTCCTAAGCCTCCTCTGAACGGAGTTGAAGGGGGATGAACTCCCGTGGCCCTTCCTTGACCTCCAGCCAAGACACCAGGAGCCTCAGCACGTGGCTGCACTCACCGACACACCATAGGCTTGGAGCTGCCTGAGGTGTCATCAGACTTCTGTGACAACCCCCTAAACTAGTATCAAGCTACGACCTGTTTTCTACTTTTCAATAATAAAGAGTGCAAACAGATTGATATCATATTTTTTCCTATGCAAAACAAGCACTGCATAATTATCCTAGTTTATTAGGCAAGAGTAATTTAACTTTTCATCAATACATTCTGAAAATCAATGACTTAAGCCAAGAAAGCTCCAAGTTTTAAAACTTGGGACTTGTGAAAAAATATTTTTTCTCATCTCAAGGGAAAGTTTGTCAGCTGCAGAAACATTACCTGTTCTTGTCTTCTTAAAAACTAATGAGCTAGCTGTACATTTAAAATAGCCAGACATGAATAACAGGAAAAAATAAAACACTGATCCAAAGGGGTCCGTCAGAATTCAACTTGTTTCATTACAGGAGCATGTTTTTTTCAGGGAGTCACGGCAGCAACAGGACACACAACTAAAAGGACTTAGAACAGCTGTTAGCATAACCCTCGCCTGATGATTTAACACCTGCTGCTTAGACTTAAGAGCCTGTAACAACTGCTCAGACATCACTGTCAACGGTAAATAAATATATACTTAGGAAACTTGTTACCCATTTTGGATATGTGAGCATTGTATGTATCAAACAGAAAATCTCTCTGCACTGAACTGCCAAGCGTTCAGTCGTTTTAAAGCAAAAGGTAAGGCAAAGCAGGCATTGTTAATTTTCTCCTTAAGCGAAGTCAGCTGTGGTTTCTTTCTATGCTCTAGTGTCATTAACTGATAATTGAATTACAGAGTCTAGGCTCTTCGCATTACCCTGTAAAGGAAATGAGACCACGCTGAAAAGCACCGACACAAGCCACGGATGTGACACGCTAAACCAAAAACTCCCCCTCTCGAGAATTAAGGTGTTGCCAATCCCTCCACCAAAAGCCTTTCCAACTGCACCAAGCACCACTTCCATGTTCTCTTCTCACAGGCTGCCAGCAGCTGCCCTCTCTCTCCGTGCCTCAGGCGCTTCCTACGGGGGCAAAACTGAACTCCTCTGCTCTGCTTTTTGGCTCTAAGGGCGTTCAGCACGAGAATGTCCCCTCAGACGTTCAGCACGAGAATTTCCCCTCAGAAAGACCCCCGCCCCGGGAAGCTGCTCCTGTGCGAGCAGGACGCGCTGTCAGCGGATCAAGAGGGCAGCAGAAGGGAATTTTTAATTTCCCCCTCCCCCCGTAGGTGAAACTTCGTTTTCACACCCAACCCCGAACCCAAGCGCCG